GTCCGCCCTGACCGCGCAGGACTTGGAAGTTGAAACCAGACGCCGAGGCCGAGCCACTGAATCGCACTCCCGTCTAGCCCTCTGGTCCGGCCCTCTGGTCGGCCCTCTGACAACATCCTCCGGCCTGCTTCTCCAGTGCCAGGGCGGTGGACTTGGAGAATCGCGGGTCCGCCACCTCACAAGCAACTTCAGTGCCCCGCTTTCTCTTCCAAAGCCACTGCTAAAGCGAATACCCAGCTGCGCCCGGCCTCATCGTCCAGCAAGTCCATGATCTTGCCGAAGTCCTGCGCAGCTCTGCCAATCCATGCTCTTGGTCCTCTGACCTATGACCTCTGAACTGCGTCTGTTTCTTCGGACAGGCTTTGGGCTCAAGACGGTTCATGCGCATGAACCGCCTGCCTCGCTCAGCACGTTCTGGCCGTTGATGGAGGCCACCACCCAGCCGCTCTGCACGCCTGGAACCCGTCTGACTGGCACCAGATAGCAAGCAAAGGGAGCCTGCCCTCAGCCCCTCGACCCTCAGCCAGCCAGTCTGCAGGCTTCAACTCAATTCATTGAATCGCATGCTGCAGCTTCCGCAAAGTTAAGACTGTACTCTTCAATCAAGCAAATACACCATTTGCAAGTGCGTTTCTTTGAAAACACACAGGCCGAAAACTCTTGCGGGCAAATAGCTGGGGGAATTCTCCAACATGCATGACTAGGCGCTCAAGGGAGCCGGCAGCCTTCGGCCCAGCCCGCCCTCAGCCCCTCGGCCCAATGGTTTCCGAGTGCTCCAAGGACACCGAACAGGAGTTGGCGGGGGGCAGATTGCATTGAGGTCTCCAACGTAAGTAAAGCTGCTCCATGTCATGCTATGCTTCAGGAGAAGATTTGCATTCCAGCAAAATGCCAAGACTGGTTCAAACCAAGGCACGCAGCCCAAACAGCCAAGAACCCAAAAACACACAGTGCATAGCTTCAGTGCTCCCTCATTCCCCCTCCTCCTCCCGGAAGGCGCGCCTGAGGCAAAGGCCTGGCCCTGGGGGTCGCCCGGGTAGCGGCTCTTGGGGATGATCTCCATGGCCATGGCGCCCTTCATGCCGTTGCCTGCCGCGTCCGGATGAGAAATTCAAGTCCCGCCGTCAAAAACGGCGTGTTGGGCCGAGCCGGCCCTCCTTCCATCCTTCCGCCCCGTCCGGCCGTATCTCGCCTGGCTGGTAGCGCAGGATGCCAAAGGGCCTCTTCTTGAACTCCACGGCGGCGCCCGGGCCAGTCGCCGACGTGCCGTCGAAGGGCACATCGGAATCCTGCGCACAGGAGCCACCCCCCCCTCCCACTGCACCCGGCCGGCACACCTCTCACGGATGCTTGGAAGCTGACTCTGGCGACACACCCCGCCTTGGGTCCGAGGCGCTCCAAGTACTCCGCGCTCACGCGCGCCGGCACGCGGCTCAGGTCGCGGGGCGTGCTCGGCGTGCCCACGAAGCTCTGGGAGAACTGGTAGATGCCTGAGATTCCGCTGCCCCTGCCAAATGCAGGAACCCCTGGTTTACCCAGCAAGAAAGGAAGCCTTCATTTCTTTGGGAAAACACCCCCGTACTCCTCAAACGGCGATTGCTCCCTTTGCCAGTTGCCGTGCAGACCTGCACACCGTGCTACGCAATGCGGCCAAAGCAAATGAACAACGCTCCAATTAAGAAGCTGGCAGCCCAGCAAAGCCAGCGCAAGGATGGGGCGGCGCGCCATGGCAGAAAGAGGTGACCCGAGGAAGCAATCGAGTGCGAGCCAACTTGCCAGCAGCAGGACGGCAGGAATCACCTGCCCACTGCTCTTTCCTCGGTTGTGTGTGTGTGTGTGTGTGTTTGTATGTCCGGTTCGTGAGGGTATGTTTGTTCCATGTCCCTCTTTCCTTCCTTTTTTTCGTAGTGATTTCCACTTTCTTTCTGGGATTGTGTGTTCGTGCGTTGCCTGTTCATGTGCATTTAAAGCGTCCACGATGCGGGTTTCGTGATGCTTGTGTTCACTTTCTTCGTGGGGATACTCTGTTCACCACTTTTTCCTGGGATGTGTGTTTCCGTAATTTGTGTGTTACTTTCTCTGAACGCTAAACAAGCCATCACAACCCCAGCCCAAACCCAGCCCTGAACCACCTTTTAACCACCCTATCCAGCCCGCCTATCATCGCTGCGACCCCAACCCTTAACAGCTGCTCAATCATGGAGTGACATCCAGCAAGCAAGGTGAGGACAAGCAAAACAGAGACACACAACCCAGCAGAACAGTGCGACTATCGCAGCGAATCCAAACTGAACACCAGGCCAGAAAGTGGACAATAATCATCAAATTTCGGGTTGGTTTAAGTGGGTGTAGTGTGAGATAACAATGGCTTAAACCCAAAACACGAGTTTGTTCTTTGTCACCCTCCCGGATGATGAGACAATGCAAAAAGGAAGGAGCCATCTGAGCCAACCACTCTCAAGAAGCTACCTTTCACTAAGCCCGTCCTGACTCGAAAACATCTTAGCGCGCTGTTTTTTGCCTTGCAGGTCTTGAGAGCCACGCAGGCTCCAAGTCACGCTGACAAATGCTTGTCAGCTGTGGCTTGAACTAAAAAATGAGCGCTCAGCGCGCGAAGCCGTCCTGGCCGTCCTCCTTGAGCTCAGCGCCCTTGTAGACATACCCTGCAGGATCCGAGCAGTCGAACTTGGATACTCACAACACACCCACAAAAGAGGGTAACACCCCACGAACACACGCACTTCCAACAGCCGTCTTTCTTGAGCAAGATGCATCCCATCAAAATCCACAGATGGACACCACACTTGCACTGCGCAGTCCTGGGATGGAAGCGAAGGTCACCTGCAGAGGTGCCGCCGCAGGCTCCGCCATGCGTCCGCCCTGACAGCGCAGGACTTGGAAGTTGAAACCAGACGCCGAGGCCGAGCCACTGAATCGCACTCCCGTCTAGCCCTCTGGTCCGGCCCTCTGGTCGGCCCTCTGACAACATCCTCCGGCCTGCTTCTCCAATGCCAGGGCGGTGGACTTGGAGAATCGCGGGTCCGCCACCTCACAAGCAACTTCAGAGCCCCGCTTTCTCTTCCAAGCCACTGCTAAAGCGAATACCCAGCTGCGCCCGGCCTCATCGTCCAGCAAGTCCATGATCTTGCCGAAGTCCTGCGCAGCTCTGCCAATCCATGCTCTTGGTCCTCTGACCTATGACCTCTGAACTGCGTCTGTTTCTTCGGACAGGCTTTGGGCTCAAGACGGTTCATGCGCATGAACCGCCTGCCTCGCTCAGCACGTTCTGGCCGTTGATGGAGGCCACCACCCAGCCGCTCTGCACGCCTGGAACCCGTCTGACTGGCACCAGATAGCAAGCAAAGGGAGCCTGCCCTCAGCCCCTCGACCCTCAGCCAGCCAGTCTGCAGGCTTCAACTCAATTCATTGAATCGCATGCTGCAGCTTCCGCAAAGTTAAGACTGTACTCTTCAATCAAGCAAATACACCATTTGCAAGTGCGTTTCTTTGAAAACACACAGGCCGAAAACTCTTGCGGGCAAATAGCTGGGGGAATTCTCCAACATGCATGACTAGGCTGCTCCAAGCATAGTTCATGTTGTGCTATGCTCCAGGGTTAGGTGTATGCCAGCAGCAAATCAATAATGGTTCGAGCTGAGGCATGCAACACAAACATCAAGCTGCCTAATGCCTCTTCCCAAACGGCGCGCCTGAGGCAAAGGCCTGGCCCTGGGGGTCGCCCGGGTAGCGGCTCTTGGGGATGATCTCCATGGCCATGGCACCCTTCATGCCGTTGCCTGCCATGTCCGGATGCGAAATTCAAGTTTCCTTCCGCCCCGTCCGGCCGTATCTCGCCTGGCTGGTAGCGCAGGATGCCAAAGGGCCTCTTCTTGAACTCCACGGCGGCGCCCGGGCCAGTCGCCGACGTGCCGTCGAAGGGCACATCGGAATCCTGCGCACAGGAGCCACCCCCGCTCCCACTGCACCCGGCCGGCACACCTCTCACGGATGCTTGGAAGCTGACTCTGCCCCGCCTTGGGTCCGAGGCGCTCCAAGTACTCCGCGCTCACGCGCGCCGGCACGCGGCTCAGGTCGCGGGGCGTGCTCGGCGTGCCCACGAAGGCGAAGCTGCACAGGCCGAGGCGGGGGCAGGGGGGGGGGGGGGGTAGGCAACTGCCAACAAGAGGCACAACTCAGCCAACTGGGAGATCTCCCTTCTCAGCCAGTCACACTGTCCCAAGCAATCATTTGCCTGGCAAAGCTGTAGACCGCCGCCAGCGCTGCAAGCGCAGGAACAAGCACTGGGCGCGCCATGGTTTAATGGAGCGAGGCAAGGTTGACCAGCAGCTAAAGAACAAAAATGGCACCTGGGACACACAACAAATGAACAGTGCCCAAAACTCACTGAATTGTTGGTTCTACCAACACAGCTTTCACAATCCAAAGGGGCCCACTTTGATTTGGGGCACCATTCAAATATCAATGCAAGCTGCACACCGTCTCAGATATGTAGTGTGTTGAGCAGGCAAGCAAGCCCAAGCTTGCCCCACCTCTGCTCAAGGACGTGTCAACAAGATTCAATAATATGGATTTTGATTTCAGAGAGGGATCCTATTGCAAAAAGCCCTGACCATGAGAGTCACAAACACCCTTGCTTTTGGCCGGGTGAGTCTTTCAAGCCTCTCTTGACAAGGCCGATGTCTGATAGAGAAACGGATCCACGCTCTGCGGCCTCCACAATTCAAATGCAGGCCGCAGGGGCGAGGCAAGGAAAAAGCCCCGAAGTGCCTCAGCGGGCAAAGCCGTCCTGGCCGTCCTCCTTGAGCTCAGCGCCCTTGTAAACATAGCCTGCAAGATCCAGGCGACAGAGCACAGAGCAACCGAACTTGGATACGCACAACACACCCGCACCAGAGGGTGGCACCCCACGAACACACGCACTTCCAACAGCCGTCTTTCTTGAGCAAAATGCATCCCATCAAAATCCACAGATGGACACCACACTTGCACTGCGCAGTCCTGGGATGGAAGCGAAGGTCACCTGCAGAGGTGCCGCCGCAGGCTCCGCCATGCGTCCGCCCTGACAGCGCAGGACTTGGAAGTTGAAACCAGACGCCGCACTCCCGTCTAGCCCTCTGGTCCGGCCCTCTGGTCGGCCCTCTGACAACATCCTCCGGCCTGCTTCTCCAATGCCAGGGCGGTGGACTTGGAGAATCGCGGGTCCGCCACCTCACAAGCAACTTCAGTGCCCCGCTTTCTCTTCCAAAGCCACTGCTAAAGCGAATACCCAGCTGCGCCCGGCCTCATCGTCCAGCAAGTCCATGATCTTGCCGAAGTCCTGCGCAGCTCTGCCAATCCATGCTCTTGGTCCTCTGACCTATGACCTCTGAACTGCATCTGTTTCTTCGGACAGGCTTTGGGCTCAAGACGGTTCATGCGCATGAACCGCCTGCCTCGCTCAGCACGTTCTGGCCGTTGATGGAGGCCACCACCCAGCCGCTCTGCACGCCTGGAACCCGTCTGACTGGCACCAAATAGCAAGCAAAGGGAGCCTGCCCTCAGCCCCTCGACCCTCAGCCAGCCAGTCTGCAGGCTTCAACTCAATTCATTGAATCGCATGCTGCAGCTTCCACAAAGTTAAGACTGTACTCTTCAATCAAGCAAATACACCATTTGCAAGTGCGTTTCTTTGAAAACACACAGGCCGAAAACTCTTGCGGGCAAATAGCTGGGGGAATTCTCCAACATGCATGACTAGGCGCTCAAGGGAGCCGGCAGCCTTCGGCCCTCAGCCCGCCCTCAGCCCCTCGGCCCAATGGTTTCCGAGTGCTCCAAGGACACCGAACAGGAGTTGGCGGGGGGCAGATTGCATTGAGGTCTCCAACTTAAGTAAAGCTGCTCCATGTCATGCTATGCTTCAGGAGAAGATTTGCATTCCAGCAAAATGCCAAGACTGGTTCAAACCAAGGCACGCAGCCCAAACAGCCAAGAACCCAAAAACACACAGTGCATAGATTCAGTGCTCCCTCATTCCCCCTCCTCCTCCCGGAAGGCGCGCCTGAGGCAAAGGCCTGGCCCTGGGGGTCGCCCGGGTAGCGGCTCTTGGGGATGATCTCCATGGCCATGGCGCCCTTCATGCCGTTGCCTGCCACGCCGGATGAGAAATTCAAGTCCCGCCGTCAAAAACGGTGTGTTGGGCCGAGCCGGCCCTCCTTCCATCCTTCCGCCCCGTCCGGCCGTATCTCGCCTGGCTGGTAGCGCAGGATGCCAAAGGGCCTCTTCTTGAACTCCACGGCGGCGCCCGGGCCAGTCGCCGACGTGCCGTCGAAGGGCACATCGGAATCCTGCGCACAGGAGCCACCCCCCCTCCCACTGCACCCGGCCGGCACACCTCTCACGGATGCTTGGAAGCTGACTCTGGCGACACACCCCGCCTTGGGTCCAAGGCGCTCCAAATACTCCGCGCTCACGCGCGCTGGCACGCGGCTCAGGTCGCGGGGCGTGCTCGGCGTGCCCACGAAGGCGAAGCTGCGCAGGCCGAGGCGGGGGCAGGGGGGGGGCAGGCAACTGCCAACAAGAGGCACAACTCAGCCAACTGGGAGATCTCCCTTCTCAGCCAGTCACACTGTCCCAAGCAATCATTTGCCTGGCAAAGCTGTAGACCGCCGCCAGCGCTGCAAGCGCAGGAACAAGCACTGGGCGCGCCATGGTTTAATGGAGCGAGGCAAGGTTGACCCGCAGCTACAGAACAAAAATGGCACCTGGGACATACAACAAATGAACAGTGCCCTAAACTCACTCACTTGTTACTTCTACCAACACAGCTTTCACAATCTAACGTGGCCAACTGGGATTTGGGGCACCATTCAAATGTCAATGCAAGCTGCACACTGTCTCAGATATGTAGTGTGTTGAGCAGCCAAGCAAGCCCAAGGTTGCCCCACCTCTGCTCAAGGACGTGTCAACACGATTCCACAATCTGGATTTTGATTTCAGAGAGGGATCCTATTGCAAAAAGCCCTGACCATGAGAGTCACAAACACCCTTGCTTTTGGCCGGGTGAGTCTTTCAAGCCTCTCTTGACAAGGCCGATGTCTGATAGAGAAACGGATCCACGCTCTGCGGCCTCCACAATTCAAATGCAGGCCGCAGGGGCGAGGCAAGGAAAAAGCCCCGAAGTGCCTCAGCGGGCAAAGCCGTCCTGGCCGTCCTCCTTGAGCTCAGCGCCCTTGTAAACATAGCCTGCAAGATCCAGGCGACAGAGCACAGAGCAACCGAACTTGGATACGCACAACACACCCGCACCAGAGGGTGGCACCCCACGAACACACGCACTTCCAACAGCCGTCTTTCTTGAGCAAGATGCATCCCATCAAAATCCACAGATGGACACCACACTTGCACTGCGCAGTCCTGGGATGGAAGCGAAGGTCACCTGCAGAGGTGCCGCCGCAGGTTCCGCCATGCGTCCGCCCTGACAGCGCAGGACTTGGAAGTTGAAACCAGACGCCGAGGCCGAGCCACTGAATCGCACTCCCGTCTAGCCCTCTGGTCCGGCCCTCTGGTCGGCCCTCTGACAAGATCCTCCGGCCTGCTTCTCCAATGCCAGGGCGGTGGACTTGGAGAATCGCGGGTCCGCCACCTCACAAGCAACTTCAGTGCCCCGCTTTCTCTTCCAAAGCCACTGCTAAAGCGAATACCCAGCTGCGCCCGGCCTCATCGTCCAGCAAGTCCATGATCTTGCCGAAGTCCTGCGCAGCTCTGCCAATCCATGCTCTTGGTCCTCTGACCTATGACCTCTGAACTGCGTCTGTTTCTTCGGACAGGCTTTGGGCTCAAGACGGTTCATGCGCATGAACCGCCTGCCTCGCTCAGCACGTTCTGGCCGTTGATGGAGGCCACCACCCAGCCGCTCTGCACGCCTGGAACCCGTCTGACTGGCACCAGATAGCAAGCAAAGGGAGCCTGCCCTCAGCCCCTCGACCCTCAGCCAGCCAGTCTGCAGGCTTCAACTCAATTCATTGAATCGCATGCTGCAGCTTCCGCAAAGTTAAGACTGTACTCTTCAATCAAGCAAATACACCATTTGCAAGTGCGTTTCTTTGAAAACACACAGGCCGAAAACTCTTGCGGGCAAATAGCTGGGGGAATTCTCCAACATGCATGACTAGGCGCTCAAGGGAGCCGGCAGCCTTCGGCCCTCAGCCCGCCCTCAGCCCCTCGGCCCAATGGTTTCCGAGTGCTCCAAGGACACCGAACAGGAGTTGGCGGGGGGCAGATTGCATTGAGGTCTCCAACGTAAGTAAAGCTGCTCCATGTCATGCTATGCTTCAGGAGAAGATTTGCATTCCAGCCAAAATGCCAAGACTGGTTCAAACCAAGGCACGCAGCCCAAACAGCCAAGAACCCAAAAACACACAGTGCATAGCTTCAGTGCTCCCTCATTCCCCCTCCTCCTCCCGGAAGGCGCGCCTGAGGCAAAGGCCTGGCCCTGGGGGTCGCCCGGGTAGCGGCTCTTGGGGATGATCTCCATGGCCATGGCGCCCTTCATGCCGTTGCCTGCCGCGTCCGGATGAGAAATTCAAGTCCCGCCGTCAAAAGCGGCGTGTTGGGCCGAGCCGGCCCTCCTTCTGTCCTTCCGCCCCGTCCGGCCGTATCTCGCCTGGCTGGTAGCGCAGGATGCCAAAGGGCCTCTTCTTGAACTCCACGGCGGCGCCCGGGCCAGTCGCCGACGTGCCGTCGAAGGGTACATCGGAATCCTGCACACAGGAGCCACCCCCCCTCCCACTGCACCCGGCCGGCACACCTCTCCAACTGGAAGCTGACTCTGGCGACACACCCCGCCTTGGGTCCAAGGCGCTCCAAATACTCCGCGCTCACGCGCGCTGGCACGCGGCTCAGGTCGCGGGGCGTGCTCGGCGTACCCACGAAGGCGAAGCTGCACAGGCCGAGGCGGGGCAGGGGGGGGGGGGTAGGCAACTGCCAACAAGAGGCACAACTCAGCCAACTGGGAGATCTCCCTTCTCAGCCAGTCACACTGTCCCAAGCAGTCATTTGCCTGGCAAAGCTGTAGACCGCCGCCAGCGCTGCAAGCGCAGGAACAAGCACTGGGCGCGCCATGGTTTAATGGAGCGAGGCAAGGTTGACCAGCAGCTAAAGAACAAAAATGGCACCTGGGACACACAACAAATGAACAGTGCCCCAAACTCACTGACTTGTTGCTTCCGCAATCCAAAGGGGCCCACGTTGATTTGGGGCACCATTCAAATATCAATGCAAGCTGCACACTGTCTCAGATATGTAGTGTGTTGAGCAGGCAAGCAAGCCCAAGCTTGCCCCACCTCTGCTCAAGGACGTGTCAACACGATTCAACAATCTGGATTTTGATTTCAGAGAGGGATCCTATTGCAAAAAGCCCTGACCATGAGAGTCACAAACACCCTTGCTTTTGGCCGGGTGAGTCTTTCAAGCCTCTCTTGACAAGGCCGATGTCTGATAGAGAAACGGATCCACGCTCTGCGGCCTCCACAATTCAAATGCAGGCCGCAGGGGCGAGGCAAGGAAAAAGCCCCGAAGTGCCTCAGCGGGCAAAGCCGTCCTGGCCGTCCTCCTTGAGCTCAGCGCCCTTGTAAACATAGCCTGCAGGATCCAGGCGACAGAGCACAGAGCAACCGAACTTGGATACGCACAACACACCCGCACCAGAGGGTGGCACCCCACGAACACACGCACTTCCAACAGCCGTCTTTCTTGAGCAAGATGCATCCCATCAAAATCCACAGATGGACACCACACTTGCACTGCGCAGTCCTGGGATGGAAGCGAAGGTCACCTGCAGAGGTGCCGCCGCAGGCTCCGCCATGCGTCCGCCCTGACCGCGCAGGACTTGGAAGTTGAAACCAGACGCCGAGGCCGAGCCACTGAATCGCACTCCCGTCTAGCCCTCTGGTCCGGCCCTCTGGTCGGCCCTCTGACAACATCCTCCGGCCTGCTTCTCCAATGCCAGGGCGGTGGACTTGGAGAATCGCGGGTCCGCCACCTCACAAGCAACTTCAGTGCCCCGCTTTCTCTTCCAAGCCACTGCTAAAGCGAATACCCAGCTGCGCCCGGCCTCATCGTCCAGCAAGTCCATGATCTTGCCGAAGTCCTGCGCAGCTCTGCCAATCCATGCTCTTGGTCCTCTGACCTATGACCTCTGAACTGCGTCTGTTTCTTCGGACAGGCTTTGGGCTCAAGACGGTTCATGCGCATGAACCGCCTGCCTCGCTCAGAACGTTCTGGCCGTTGATGGAGGCCACCACCCAGCCGCTCTGCACGCCTGGAACCCGTCTGACTGGCACCAGATAGCAAGCAAAGGGAGCCTGCCCTCAGCCCCTCGACCCTCAGCCAGCCAGTCTGCAGGCTTCAACTCAATTCATTGAATCGCATGCTGCAGCTTCCGCAAAGTTAAGACTGTACTCTTCAATCAAGCAAATACACCATTTGCAAGTGCGTTTCTTTGAAAACACACAGGCCGAAAACTCTTGCGGGCAAATAGCTGGGGGAATTCTCCAACATGCATGACTAGGCGCTCAAGGGAGCCGGCAGCCTTCGGCCCTCAGCCCGCCCTCAGCCCCTCGGCCCAATGGTTTCCGAGTGCTCCAAGGACACCGAACAGGAGTTGGCGGGGGGCAGATTGCATTGAGGTCTCCAACTTAAGTAAAGCTGCTCCATGTCATGCTATGCTTCAGGAGAAGATTTGCATTCCAGCAAAATGCCAAGACTGGTTCAAACCAAGGCACGCAGCCCAAACAGCCAAGAACCCAAAAACACACAGTGCATAGATTCAGTGCTGCCTCATTCCCCCTCCTCCTCCCGGAAGGCGCGCCTGAGGCAAAGGCCTGGCCCTGGGGGTCGCCCGGGTAGCGGCTCTTGGGGATGATCTCCATGGCCATGGCGCCCTTCATGCCGTTGCCTGCCACGTCCGGATGAGAAATTCAAGTCCCGCCGTCAAAAACGGTGTGTTGGGCCGAGCCGGCCCTCCTTCCATCCTTCCGCCCTGTCCGGCCGTATCTCGCCTGGCTGGTAGCGCAGGATGCCAAAGGGCCTCTTCTTGAACTCCACGGCGGCGCCCGGGCCAGTCGCCGACGTGCCGTCGAAGGGCACATCGGAATCCTGCGCACAGGAGCCACCCCCCTCCCACTGCACCCGGCCGGCACACCTCTCACGGATGCTTGGAAGCTGATTTTGGCGACACACCCCGCCTTGGGTCCAAGGCGCTCCAAATACTCCGCGCTCACGCGCGCTGGCACGCGGCTCAGGTCGCGGGGCGTGCTCGGCGTGCCCACGAAGGCGAAGCTGCACAGGCCGAGGCGGGGGCAGGGCGGGGCGGGGGGGCAACTGCCAACAAGAGGCACAACTCAGCCAACTGGGAGATCTCCCTTCTCAGCCAGTCACACTGTCCCAAGCAATCATTTGCCTGGCAAAGCTGTAGACCGCCGCCAGCGCTGCAAGCGCAGGAACAAGCACTGGGCGCGCCATGGTTTAATGGAGCGAGGCAAGGTTGACCAGCAGCTAAAGAACAAAAATGGCACCTGGGACACACAACAAATGAACAGTGCCCAAAACTCACTGAATTGTTGGTTCTACCAACACAGCTTTCACAATCCAAAGGGGCCCACTTTGATTTGGGGCACCATTCAAATATCAATGTCTCAGATATGCAGCGTGTTGAGCAGGCAAGCAAGCCCAAGCTTGCCCCACCTCTGCTCAAGGACGTGTCAACACGATTCAACAATCTGGATTTTGATTTCAGAGAGGGATCCTATTGCAAAAAGCCCTGACCATGAGAGTCACAAACACCCTTGCTTTTGGCCGGGTGAGTCTTTCAAGCCTCTCTTGACAAGGCCGATGTCTGATAGAGAAACGGATCCACGCTCTGCGACCTCCACAATTCAAATGCAAGCCGCAGGGGCGAGGCAAGGAAAAAGCCCCGAAGTGCCTCAGCGGGCAAAGCCGTCCTGGCCGTCCTCCTTGAGCTCAGCGCCCTTGTAAACATAGCCTGCAGGATCCAGGCGACAGAGCACAGAGCAACCGAACTTGGATACGCACAACACACCCGCACCAGAGGGTGGCACCCCACGAACACACGCACTTCCAACAGCCGTCTTTCTTGAGCAAGATGCATCCCATCAAAATCCACAGATGGACACCACACTTGCACTGCGCAGTCCTGGGATGGAAGCGAAGGTCACCTGCAGAGGTGCCGCCGCAGGCTCCGCCATGCGTCCGCCCTGACAGCAGGACTTGGAAGTTGAAACCAGACGCCGAGGCCGAGCCACTGAATCGCACTCCCGTCTAGCCCTCTGGTCCGGCCCTCTGGTCGGCCCTCTCACAAGATCCTCCGGCCTGCTTCTCCAATGCCAGGGCGGTGGACTTGGAGAATCGCGGGTCCGCCACCTCACAAGCAACTTCAGAGCCCCGCTTTCTCTTCCAAAGCCACTGCTAAAGCGAATACCCAGCTGCGCCCGGCCTCATCGTCCAGCAAGTCCATGATCTTGCCGAAGTCCTGCGCAGCTCTGCCAATCCATGCTCTTGGTCCTCTGACCTATGACCTCTGAACTGCGTCTGTTTCTTCGGACAGGCTTTGGGCTCAAGACGGTTCATGCGCATGAACCGCCTGCCTCGCTCAGCACGTTCTGGCCGTTGATGGAGGCCACCACCCAGCCGCTCTGCACGCCTGGAACCCGTCTGACTGGCACCAGATAGCAAGGGAAGGGAGCTCAAGGGAGCCGGCAGCCCAAGCCTTCGGTTCTCAGCCCCGTGACCCCTCCAGCCCTCAGCCCTGAAGTACGTATAAAGCATTGAGTGGGTACCGGAAGAAGTGAAAAAGTGATCACAGATTCAAACACTGTGATCAGTGCCACGCGCGCACGTACACACTCACACACACTTGGACATACACAATATCATGCCATACCATCAAATATCATGCTACACCACACCGCTACCATACCTACGTACCTTGCAGTACCCTAAAAGATGCATACCATAAATGCCATACATACCATGCGAACGATACATACCATACATACCATACAATAATGCATTGTGTACCCAAAAGTACGTGTCCCCCATTGAATTTTGTTTACCTTAGGTTCTATTGCATCACATTGCCTTGCTTGCTCTACGTTCTGCCCATTGCGTTAAGAATATGTTGCATCAGAGTACATTCAGTGCATGACATGACGCTGCAGTGCATCACATTGCATTGCAGAGCAGTACATTACGCGACATCACATTGCATTGCATCGCGTCGCAATGCTTTACGTTGTGCAGTCTTTCATTGCGCTTGCATTGCTTTGCGCAACAGCACTGTACATCGTTGTCTGCCACACTGTATTGTGGTACATCACATCGCGCCTCACTGGATCACATTACGTCGCATTGTCCTGAGGACATCGCATTGCGCTCACATTGCCTTGGATTCCATCTCATTACACTACGCTACAGGGAATTTCAGATGACAATGCATTGTATTAAGTTGGTGCGCTGATTTACGTCATGTAAGATTGAATATGTGCACGCTTGCCCTACATCACATAAAGAGCAGTGCACTGCGTCATATGCAAGCATCTTTCGGATTTCAGTTTTGTACCGCTTTGCAGGCCATGTGTCGAACAGCACTCCGAGATCTTCTCTGAACACAATTGAATGAACAAATCCCCTGGATAAACACAACATGCAACTGGGCTGTTCAAAATGGGGTGGCATGTTAGAATGCCGATTCAAGATTTCTCAGCCAAGTTTGTCTCTATAAGGAAATATCAAGCTGCTCAATGCATGGGCAAAACTCCAGGAGCAGATTTGCATTCCAGCACCAAGGCACGCAGCCCAAACAGCCAAGAATCAAAAAACACACAGTGCATAGCTTCAGTGCTCCCTCATTCCCCCTCCTCCTCCCGGAAGGCGCGCCTGAGGCAAAGGCCTGGCCCTGGGGGTCGCCCGGGTAGCGGCTCTTGGGGATGATCTCCATGGCCATGGCGCCCTTCATGCCGTTGCCTGCCACGTCCGGATGAGAAATTCAAGTCCCGCCGTCAAAAACGGTGTGTTGGGCCGAGCCAGCCCTCCTTCCATCCTTCCGCCCCGTCCGGCCGTATCTCGCCTGGCTGGTAGCGCAGGATGCCAAAGGGCCTCTTCTTGAACTCCACGGCGGCGCCCGGGCCAGTCGCCGACGTGCCGTCGAAGGGCACATCGGAATCCTGCGCACAGGAGCCACCCCCCCTCCCACTGCACCCGGCCGGCACACCTCTCACGGATGCTTGGAAGCTGACTCTGGCGACACACCCCGCCTTGGGTCCAAGGCGCTCCAAATACTCCGCGCTCACGCGCGCTGGAACGCGGCTCAGGTCGCGGGGCGTGCTCGGCGTGCCCACGAAGGCGAAGCTGCGCAGGCTGGGCAAGACCAAGAGCATGGTTTCACCCAAACGAGGTATGATTTGGGCAAGACAAAGCGCTAGTATAGTAGCCGGCCATCTCCGAGGTTACCACTTTTAAGGGGGATCCGCTTGGAATTACAAAAAGTCGCAACCTGAAGCCTATGTTCAACCATCATGCGATTGTTTGACCCTTTTGGTGCGCTTCACAGGCAGGACCCTTGACAAGCGCCCGTTTCTACGGTGTCCACTCCTTACACGGCAAAACTGGGGATATCCCAGTTTAGTGGCTAGATAGCGGTTGTATATCGTAAACCCCCCCTTGGTCCCAGTCGTTTGCGGGTGGAAATAATCTTAGAGGTTGGCCGAAGTAAAGTGACGAAAGCCTTGTGACATCATGGACACCAGAAACAGCCTTCTCAGACTAAACTGACTCCACATGTGTATCCAAGCACTTGAAATCCGAATTTTACGTGGCTGGACCCTGTGGTGGAAATCAGAAAGACTGAGGGGGGATTCGTGGCCACCAACCACATTCATTAAAATCCCGTTCGGCATCTGGGTACGTATCAAAATGGGGATTCGGACCCAAAAAGTTGCGGCGCTCCTTTCGATTCTCCTAAACTAATCCCAGAAAGGGTGCCCTCCAAACAACGAGCCACCTCATCTGGAGGACGAAACCGCGAAACCCGCCTCAGGCCATAAAGGGCGGCCACAGCGCCGATCAGCGGCAACAGCACAGGGCGGGCCATGTTTCGCTCGTGGGCGGGCAGCGGCGTAAACGTGCCAAAAGGGCTGCACGTGAATCTGTCAAAGTACAGGTCCGGACTGCAAAACTCCGTCGTCCCTGTAGTTTCCCTTTAACACCACCCAACAAAGGATACCCTCAAAACACCTGCGTATGAGCTGAGGAAAAAAAATCGAGGCATAGCAATTCATGGCTGAGCCTCTCTCATTGGCTGCGTCAACTACCGTTCAGGGCAAGTCGCACTTCCCAATTTGGTCATAACAAGAAGGGCTTCAAATCCCCACCCTTTGAAAATTGAATATCCCCCCTCCCCCTCTGATTCACCCCGTCCTTCTGGAACCCTTCCCTTCCCTTGATCCCATCTCCCTCCCCATGCACCTTGCCCTTGGGAGGGAGCAGCAGCAGCTCGTAGCCCTTGGCCTGGAAAAGCACCTGCCACGCCGATTCGCCGATTCGCTTCGGTGCTGAACCTATGGAATTATGGACCATGGAAAGGGCGTAGCTCACGGAACTGTGGAACCAGAAAACATCACATGTTTATCTAAACTGTCTTGAGTCAGGAAGTCCAAAGTAAGATACAGTGCTTTCCAAGTCAATGGGCATTCGGTTGGCCACTTTCTTTTTAACAGTGGTTGACAAGTTGAAGTCTCTGGTTGGGCCGAGCTTGGTCCCGAACTCAGAAATCTGCCATGGGTGTCCAAGAACGCGCGAGGGTACCTTAACGGCGGCTGAGAGCCCGGGCATTTGCTTAGCGTGCACGGGGTTCTCCAAATAGAGTCGTTTTCAGGGTGGCTTCAAAGGGAAGCCAGAAGGAAACAACTCTTTTTCATGCCCCATTTAGGGAAACACACGTGTGTTTCTGGTCTTTCGGCCACGGTTGCCAAAGCAGCCAGTGCCCTAAAAACTAGCTGGACCTCATAAGGGACCGAGCCCAAGCTGAACCATCCAACTGGTTTCCTTCAAGGACTCCCAAAACAGAAAACTCCCTGACAAAAACTGCTCCACCACCTTCCCAGCCCTCCCGCCTTTCTCTTGGCCCTCCGCTTCAGGAAGGCCGGGGCCTTGCGGCAAGCCGAGCCGGGTGCCGAAGCGGGTCCAGGACGATCCCTGTGCATCCACTACCACCTCCAACCTCCTTTGTCGGTGAAGCCGGAGTCTTGCATGGCTGCTTCATGTTGCCGAGTGACAAGAACCACATAGGTGAGAAGATGCCAGGACAAAGCAAAGAGCACCCAAGTAAACGCCATGTTCTCACTGACCCTCAAGTTGCAGGTGCGCCTCGTAGAGGGCGAGCCTCGGCCAAAAAGTCACGGCGCTTTGAAGCCCATTGACCAATCACCCCAATGAGCCACACCGAACACCCAAATAGACCGATGTGCTTATACACCTGAGTCTAACAAAAAGGAGTTCCTTTCGCAGGGATCCTTACCTTATACACCTGAACATTGCTTGTAAATGGTGGTTTCCCGTTATTTTGGTGGAAAAAGCCATGTCTCAAATGGGCAAAATGTATCTTTTAAGGAGCCCTGTTTCGGATGCACCCGTTCCGTGGCCATCGGCGCTTACTCTCAACGCTATGCGCCCGGCACGGCGAGCAAGCAAAGCAGCAGCCCTGCCTGGGCAATTTCCATGCCCCGAAGCTCGTCTCAGCCCGACGGGATATGCGTCACAAGTGATTGGGACCACCTGGAAGGTGGAACCAAGTTGCGAAAAGGGTACGCACCCTTAAAAGAAGAACGAAAAGAAAGAGGTAACCCGGTAAGCACCACACCTTGGTTTCCTGAGCTCAGACTTCCCCCGCTTTTTGTTTGCCCTCCCTTCGGAGCGCTCCCTCGCCTGATGCCGCGGCCTTAGGCAGGTCCAAAGGCCAAAAAACATAAACTCGGTGAACTTGTTTGGTCCAACTCTCTCAAAAAGGCTAACCAAGAGGAAACCAACAGGAAACCAACGGGAAACCAATGACGTTTCTCAAAATGGTGGATCAACCATGAGACGGTTGTGGTCCGTGATGGTCCTTGTGGTTCTGCAGGAAAGGCAAAAGACTGTGCATCCTCCGGCCATGGGGTCACACCGCCATGGGGTCACACCATCCCTTTGAAAACAATGGTCCAAGCAATGAAACCTGCTTAGCAACGTTGGCACGGAAACACCCAGAGAAGAAAATCCCAAAATGAATATGCATGTCCCAAATCAATATTCCAAATGTGTTTGTGTTGTTGTGGCCGAAGTTGCCGCCTGCTGCAGGTCTCTGGGCCCAAGAATGCCCAAACTCAACATCAAGTGTGTAGGGAATGGATGTTTCGACTTATTCCACTCTTCCCTCAAACGCAACCAAACA